TTCTCCTCTTGATGATCACCATATCGTATTGATATTTTTAGATAGTGCTCTAGGTAATTTAACACACCCTCTCGATTTCTCGCTTATTGATAAGCTCTCAGGTGAGAGATATCCTCTACAAGTAATCAAATGAACTTTTCAAATGTATTTTATTTGGGAAATTGTCTCTTTGTAATCCAAAAAATGTTACTTAAGCTTCAAATTAAGGGTAAGGAAATATTTAAATGAGAAAAGGATTGTTAATAAGGACAATTAAAAAGTTATTTACCAATGATTTATTATTAGAATACCTAATTACTCCTATGTGAATAGCTTTTCTTCACCCTAGAATCAACATATATGATAAATATTAGTTTTTTAACTCTAGCTTCATTGTTTGGCAAACATATGTATGGAGATACCCTTATTGCAACTCTTTCTTGCCTCTCCATTGCTACATAAATCTCACATATTAATATACCCACAAAACATTGAAATCACATATACATGTCTTCTACCACTCGAAGACTGAAACAACATGTAATAAAACCATAACACTACTGTAAGAGAAGAAATCCATAGAAATTAAGAGAAAAAATCCGATTGAAGAAAACATGTTTCACAGATACTTCAATAAAACAAACCCACAGAGAAACAAGTTCAACGAGGCGGAATCCCTTGGAATCAGAGTAATGGAAATGAATGAATGCATAGAAAAATCAGCAGAGGAGTGTCAAATCAACTTGAAAATTCTCACTTCAATATCAAAATTCATGATAAAATCACAACCCATATTTTTCATTTTTATCAAATTCTCAATGATTTAATTGTGACGTGAGCAAATACACTGTTTCAATAGTATAAAAATATCACATTGTTGCTAAATTTTATAAATAATAATGTTTCAGGCGCCATTATCCCAAAAATAAAAATTACTAAAAACTGTCCCAATTAAAGCTTTAATTATACACTTCACCTTTTCTATATTGCAAAATGGTTCCCATCTCTTCTCTTCTTCTTCTTTTTCTTAATCAAAACCACAGAAATAGAAAACAAAAATTATATAATTACCTTTAATCTTCCTCCATCTTCAGACTGAAACTATTCACAGTAACCTCTGCAGGGCAAACAACCAACTAGCCGTTGTCTTCTAAATTCAAAATTCTTCTCGCCATGAGACCTGTTTCGGCCGCCGGAGAACTCTTGAACGGATTTATGACTTCTGAGCTTCCATCTCTTCTTCAACGGCCCTCCATTCTTCTCCGGCGATCGCCGGAGAAAGCCACCATGGCCGCCACCGAACTGATGCTCTGAATCTTCAAACGTGGTTACTGAGACAGAGGAAAGAGGTCTGTAATGGCGGCGAGTCAACTTTCTTTTTATTGCAGTGTAGATTAAGGGGATCAGTCCCTCCATTTTTCTGCTTTTGTTTCTGAAAGATTGGGAGGGAAGGAAGTTATGGAGGAGGTGAAGGTCATTGGTCATTTTTTATAAGATATTAGAAGATAAGTTGAAAGGGTCAATATATTTGTAAGACTATTTTTGCATATTCATTTAATTTGAGATTGATGTATATTTTATTATGATTTTATTGTGAAGAATTATATATATATATATATATATATATATATATATAACAAAGATGAATGACATGTGACTGTCCGCCTCATATGTGCTAATTCAAGCCAAATAGAATTAAATTCAGGCCGAAGGGACTTACGCCGAAACTGCCAACCAACTGGCCACCAAATTGTATATAATATTCAAAATAATCTTACTCACAAATTCTTGAAGAAGGCTTCCTACTCTTATGGCATTTACATGCATATTACACATTCTTTTATGTATTTACATATCTAATACTTAAAATTTTCATATTTACATGCACAACACTAAAGACTTTACTGTCACATAAAAAATATCAATTTTTATTTGCTTTTAAAAGTGAAATACAACTTTTCACGCATAAATTTATGTCACCAGAACGTTATAAATGCAAATATAAAAGTTTAGGCGTTAGATATGTAATTACATAAATGTTGTGTGGTTTGCATGTAAATTTTTCTATACTAGGATTATAAAACTAAGTTCCACTTGCAAAGTAAACTTTTATGTGGAATGAGTTTTGGCACCATACCAAATATATTTAAAGATAAAATCATATGGCTATATATTTCATGTTGACTAGTAGTGTCAATTTGGCAGTTTATGAAAAATAATCATGTGGTTTACATGAAGCATATAACACCAAATGTCAAAGAGTTTTTAAAATTTGGAAGTCTTCTTGCAAGTTATTGTAGACATTTAGCATTATGTCAAGATAATGTAGATTAGCCAAATCCTACATGATTTAATAAGTCCCAAGATTTTGAGCGCATATTTACAACATTATCCTTATGATCAGTTTGAATAGGTCAAGGAAAAAGAAACAACAACAATGATAATAAGGATTTATCCCACTAAGTAGGGTAGGTTATATGAATCATTTTTTCTCCCTTATGTTCTATTGAGTATCATATTTTTATTTAATTTTGATAAATTAAGGTCATTCTTTATACAACATGCTCTGAACTTTTTAGGTCTACCTCAATCTTTATTAACATAGATTGATTCTAAAACATGTGTTCTCATAACCAGATCATCGGATGGCCGATGTTTAAAGTGACCAAACCGTCTAAGACGACTCTATCTAGTCTTCTCTGTTACTGGGGCTACACCAACCCTTTCACATATATTTGTTTCTCATTTTGTCTTTAAGTGTAAGGTCACTCATCCACCTTTGCACTCCTTTCTCAGTAGCACTTAACTTAGGGTGCGTTTATTTGAGCTTTTAAAATCACATTTTCAACCTAACCGCATTTTAGGGTGTTTGAATCGAGCTTTTAACTAGACCGATCCTGAATTAAGGTTTGAGATTATTGTACATTCGCGAACGTAGAAGGGTTGGCACATTTCGTCATTCGTGAATAAATGACTATGATACTACCCCTTCTCTTGCCTCTTCACCAATCACAAACACTTGTTTTTAGCTGCATTTTCATTATGTTCTTTTTGAGGTTTGAGGATAAATTCGCGGTGGTGGAGTAACAAATTATTAGCTTAGCCTTGTACGAGAATTCAACACACACACAAAGATGAAAGAGAAACAAACAGTGACGACTCAAAAATTTTTTACTCGAAAAACCCATAAAGAGAAAAACCACGGAGCTTGACCCAGTTGTGAAAATTCATTATTGATTTATGATTATAGAAATCGCTTGTCTCATAGACGAGAAATAATAACTATATTTTTCAGATTACAACGTCAATTGACGACGTCTGGTTGGTGGTGATCGATGGTGGTTAGCGATGGTTGAAGACAGTTGACAGATGTGAACGAAGGTCGGTGGTGTTCAAAAAGAGTGGCAGTGGTTGACAACGGTAGGCTGTGGTCGACGATAGTAAGCGGAGGTCGACGACTGTTGCCGGTTGTCGATTGTGGTTGGCAAGAGTTGATTGCTGTCGGTGATGTTCGAAGATGGTCGGTGGTTGTTGAAGAAGGTCAACAAGGGTCAACAAGGGTCGGTGGCGGTCAGTGGTGGTCGATAACGGTCGGCGGTGATGCTGAGCTGTAGCTCCTCCTCAAGGCCTCAGGCTCTCTCTCTAAGCTTAAGCTCCCCCCTCATGAGAGGGGTAATGTTCTATTTATAATGTTCTTGGTGCAATTAATGCAGGATATGAACCATTTTTATTGGATTGTTTGGAGAGCTTCTCTCAATCAAATAGTGTTTAATGGACATTTGGATGCCTTAATGATGTTGAAATTGAGTGATATTGGGTTCATTTGATTCGTCTTGTGGAGGCGCTCGATTTAACTATAAACTTGCCAGATTTGACTTCTCTCTGTTCTTCAAAATGTGTATGGAAATCTTCCAAGAATGGTTTAACGACTTGATCTGGGCTTGATTTGACTTAGATTGGACTAATCATTAGGCCCAACTCGTCTAACCGGTCAGTTTAACTATAAGATTGCTAAAATCAGAGCTCTGGACGAGTTTTTATCAAAATTTAAACGTTTATTGCTCAAAATATATTATCAATAACCGTGTTATGTTTCAAGATTTGTGTCAGATGATGATAAATTGCTGGTGGCGTATCACTACCGCATATCACCTGCTTTCCAAATGGGGTTTTGAAGCTTTCACCGAGAGGTAGCCCGAATCAGAGAAGAAAAAAAATATATTAGCAAAGTCGTGTGAAATATTTAATTTTGAAACGTGAAGTTTTATAAGGGTTAAATTTGTAGTTGGATGCACAATTCCTTCTATTTTAGGATTTATCTTCTAGATCATATGACAGGCTTGAAACATTAAAACACATGTAATTTTTGTTGTACAAACATGAGAGGCTTATGATCCCAATAAATTATTTCCATCGTCTTTTTCTTCAAATTCTTCATTATTCTATTGAAAGAGTAATGGTGTTTTTGGATCTGTTACAATATTAGTTGATTCATTTCCTCCTTTTTCTTAAGATTTTATTTCTTTTCTCGTATTATTTTGTGCTATCTTGTTTTTGGTTTTTTTAATATATGAACATAAAAGTTATAGCAGTTAAATATGTTAATATGTAAGAATTGAGTGAAATTGTTATCAGATCATGAAAATATTCTGTTTGTTAGCAGATTATAAATAATCAACAGCTGTGTCAAACAGTCCCTAAATCTTCCTAACAAAATACATTTATTATTTTGTTAAATTAAAGTTGATTTGATATATAGAAATTATAACAATTACATTGGATAGTTACATACAAACCCCCTGAAATCTTGATATTTACAAATTAACGACTTAGGTGATTTTTATTGAACTACAAAATAGATGTTTTTATGCACGTCACAATCAAACTATTGAGAATTTAGAACTATGGGTTGAGTGGGAATTTGAAAAATGGATGAAAGAGAGGGTTTGATTTGTAAATAGCAAATTTTGGCCGATCATGTAATTGTAATTACCAAATTACCTTAAATTAGGGCAATTTGTCTTCGTCCTTCTGACTCCAGAGTGCGCGAAGGGGGGAGTTCGCCGGGCGGGAAGAAAGATGGCTCTCCAGCTGCAGAGCTTTCGCTCAGCTGTAACCTCTTTCTACTTCGCTTCTTCAAGCTTCGGCTTTGCCCAAAGATACCGGCGTCAGTTTCTTCTCTTTTTTTACCGTTTACATGATTCCTGTGCCTTATCTTCTCTCCTTTTTGAATTTGTATTTTACCTAGAGAATGCTGATTCGAATGCGATGTTTGTATGGACGAAGAATAGGGATGCAGGATGATGAACGGGGATTCTGGAGGGCCGATTAGTTTAGAAAGTGGGAGATTGGGATGGAGGAAGCGGACAACTATAGGGCGAGAAACTAATCAGTTTTTTCATTGTCCCAATGAATTCCAGATGGAGAGTATTGAAGGCTGCACGGGGATGAATTTGGCTACCTATTGATCATAATATAAATCGCTCTTTTTTAACTAGTGGCCCATTTAGCGCATTTGCAAATCTGTACCCATCCCTTCTAATCCGATATTGTCCTTGAGGTAGAGAAACCCAGTCAAGAATCCCATAGAGTGTCTTTAGGATAAGAAATGTTGGTGGTGCATTAAAACGAGCGGAGGTGGCCAACCATCTTACCACAATTCTTCAAACCGATCCTACTTATGCGCTGAACTTAAAAGGAGATTGCCAATTGTCGAGGTTTGCTAAAACATTTTACTATAAATAATATTATAATCGAAGATAAATTCAAAGAGAAACCTTTTTGTTTTCATACTTATGATGCTCAAAGAAATAGTAAAAATATATTTAAAATAAAGTATATAGTATTCTACTATTTGGTGAAGATGGTTTTGTGAATTGAATTTAAACACATATGCACAAATTAATTTAATACAATAAAGTCAATTTCAATAAGTCAAATTTCTTTTCAAATCAAAATTAAGAAAAATTGACAATAAGAACAAACATAAATTTAACATAAAAAACTTATAGAAAATCAATAAGTATGCAAGACTTACTGAATCCCAAAATCAGCTTATTATATATGTGCTCATATACTATAGGAGCAGTGTCACACTACGCTTGAATGCTCTGAGATAGTTCTAGTATTACGTAAGATAGTGAGAAGCATAATTAAGGTACTTGATGGAATTGATAAATGCCATGAACAAATTTTGAAGGATTGATTTGAGGGTAATGGGGATCTAACGAGGACATGAATATTATTATGGATAGTGGGAAGATAATACATCATTTGCGATGGAAAAAAGGTGGATTTGGATTTAGCTTTAATGATAACCAACTTTCGACTTGGGCAGAGATGGAGATGGAGCGTAGCTCCCAATCTCAACAAGGCTCAACGTGAGCACCAATTGATGCAAACCCATTTCTTGGATCAGCAAGATATGAGGAGGGAAGATGAAAGACATTTTGAGAAAATCGGCTTCCCCGAAAAGAAAAAGTTTAACAAGGGTGAAAGGAGAATCATAGAGCATGAAAATAGCTCATTTCCATACCCAAAATGCACCCAAATAGAGTATTTAAAGAGTTACAAGGACCATCTAGCTACACATTTAATTCTAACATTACTGAATCTGCCTACTGCAAATAGTAGAACTAACATTAAGTAATAATTCATATAACTCATTTACAAATCTCTACCGACTCTAACTATTGCAAAGTAGAACTAACATTAAATACTAACTCATATAACCCATTTAAAAATCCCTATCAAATGCATTTTTTTCTATGTTATTCGTTTTTAATATTTCCAGAAGAGTTATGTTTAGAAGCTTTATAGTCTTTTTTGGTTATTCTTTAGTTGTCCGGATCATCTTAGTCCATTGCCTTCATTTTATTTTTATTTGGAAAAATTTTTTTTTTTTAACTAATAGTGTTCATAGTCTTTTATTTATAATCATATCATTAATGCCTTTTGATGGCTTAGTTATGCACTTTCCATTTCTAATTGGTTTTATCTTGGGATTTGGCTTCTTAGTGGCATTTTCTATTCGAAGGTCGCATTCATATCCTAACAAGACCATTGTAGCTTCGAAGCTTCTGAGAGTTCAACATCAAACAAGGTAAGTTTCTTTTTTCTTACTATCTTTGATAATTTTCTTAAGGTTTGAGGTGCATCCTTTTGGTATGTTGCAAGACTTAGGGCTTGGTCATCTTTGCCTTGTGATTATAGATTATAATAAGGTGGGCTAACTAAGATCACTTCCCATTTTTATGGTCAATATTACACACATTTCTTCTGTGCTTTCTAAACTTATACTTGCCTCCCATTTTTTAAGCTTTTGATCAATGAATTGGGTTTAACGTGTACTGTTCTATATAATAATAGGGCATGCAAGTATAATTTCAAAAAATAGGCTGAAGATAACATGCAAAATAAAACAATAGGGGATGCAAGTGTAATTTCAAAATACATGGAGGAGTTATTTGTAATATTGATTATTTACATAGATGCGAGTGTAATCAACCTTGATAAAGCTAAGATTATGTTTGATTTAATGGAATTGGAGGGATTGCAAATGTATTTTACTTCATAGTTTCATATTCGATCTTAATTTTAGTGTTATTATTAGGTGACTAGATTTACCTAAGAAATGTAAATAAATGCATTTTCTACTAACAAATTCCTATCCTAGTTGAAAATGGAAAAAAATTTGTAGGATCATTGTTGTGACTCATATGTTCCTTCACAAGAAAAAAATTATTATCTGATCAACACAACAAGAAAGGTTATTTATTCGTTTGATTTATACTCAACAAAAATGTGGGTGGAAAAGCTAATGTCAATTATGTTGGATTTAAAATTTTTCGTGGAGTATGTTAAAATCTTATTAGCATGAGAAAGAAAGAGAAAAACAAGAATAAAGGGAGAAATGAGAGTTTAGAGTGAGGAGTTCTTTAATATCACTTTAAAGGTTTGAGCACAAGAGATTGCATAGCCTTGGTTCACATTAATTAGAAGATGGTATCACTGATCTTCACAGTGAATGACAGAGTATAATTATTGTTTGTACTCTTTTGTAATTTGTCACATTAATCAGTGAACTCTACCATATTATCTTGTTTTGAAAATTATAGGGACTGTTTATCCCTTGTTATGTTATCATGATTATTTGCCTTCTCCCATCTAGTGGGGGCGGCTTTGTGAATCCTTTTTTGTTGTTCATTCCTCTAAACAACTTTACTTCTATTTTCTTAACTAGTTTAGTTTACACAAGTCTTTAACATAACTTTTTTTCGTATTACCTTCTTTCCTTTTCTTCTTATTAACGCCTCTTCTGTAAATTATTTTCACGAGAGAGGACTGTTCTGGAAGCCAGATTTCCGCATGATGAATAGTGATGTGTTTTTTTTTTTTTAATGTGTTCGATATAGTTTTTTACAGTAACCGACTCATCCCATTTCAGAAAAAGGAGATTAGATGAGGTATGCCTAGAGCAGTATCAGCAATATAGCAGAACCTTCATTCAGTCGTGGATCTTACAGGGTTAGCTGCTTTTTTCTCCTCCATTGGTCTTTTTTACCTTTCTGTCCTCCACTGCTTGTTTTTGTATTATCTTTTTTTTTTGTTGCAGTGTAATTTGTAGAGAAATGGTCGTTGTTCTTCTTATTGTTTTTATTTTTTTTCTTAATCAGAAAACTTATATTTTTGTGCTATGAAATATAATAGGACGCATGTGGTTTTCTTTATCTCTCTATTCACGCAATTTACTTAGGGAACTTGTGTGATTATGCCCAAACACCAACACCGGCGCTTGAGAGAACCATCTTAATCTGCATTTCGATAAATATATAATTGATGAGTTAACTGTTTCAATAGTATGATGAGTATGTGCGATGATATGTAAGTGAGCTTCCACTATTGTTGTTTTTTGAAACTTTTGCTGTTTAAGCTTGACTTTCCACACTCTTGAAGAAAAGCCAGAAAAAAAGAATATAGAAGAAAGATTTATGTTTGATATGGCTTTGAAAGTCATGTGAATAACTGCTCCTAAAGGCTTGAATTAGTGAGATGCTGATGGAAGATTGCGGACACTATGGTTTTAAGCTAAACCATGTTGGCTCTTTTCTTAGGGATGGCTTTATTTTCAAGGACCATGCTGGCAATGTGATAGACTAGGTAATCAAAGGGATGTGGGAGTGATCAGCTTTTAATGTTGTAGAAGTTATATAACGGCCAGTAAGCCTAAATACTTCGTCGGTTTTTATATATTTCATTTCTGACCAATAAGCCTGAAAACTTTCCCTCTTAAGGTTCAAGCTATGATTGTCTTTATATTTGTGTTAGACTATTAGTACCTTTTGACTTGCATCCTTGTTTTTGGATTCCATTAAAGAGGTGATGCCTTTTTTTTTACAAGCACTGTTAACTTCAATGGCAATCCAACTCCAGTTATATTTTATTTGATCCCTTATCTTTCAATCCTTGTCCACCAAAAATTTAGGAAGATTTACGTACATACCACTCAATAACATTGTATTTACATATCTAACATCTATATTTTAATTTTTACACACGTGCTAGCTCATCTATGCATAAAAAGGTGTATTTCACTTTTTAAAAGTTAAAATAGTGGTATTTTTGATGTGGTATGAAACATTTGGGTTGTAGAAATGCAGAAAAAGCAAAGTTTAGTTGTTAGATATGTAAATGAATAGGAATTGGGTGGTATGTATGTAAGTGGCCCAAAAATTTATTATTATAGCTCTTGATTTGAGTTGATCTAGTTGTTACCCCAAAGTGCTTGCTAAATCACATACTGCCCTCTAATGTAATATTATTTTCAATTTTTGATCTAGAGATTAGATCATGAAGGGGATGGTCAATCCAGCTGTTCATTTCAAAGAAAGCCTAAAAAGAAACTTCTTACATAATTTGGGCATCTAATCGTAAAGGAATCAAGAAATATTATTAGTTGATTTCATACTATCTGACTTATTGATGGAGATTTGTTGAGATGATGATCGCATTATTGAGACCAAGGAATTAGATTATCAATCAAACATACTATAAAATAGATTTTAGGCCCTATGATTTGGACCGTTGATTGAAGATCACAGTGACAACATGTATAATGTTGGCCAACCACGATAAGACCTTATCTAGATTGGTCAACTTTGGGATGAGGCTTGATTCATATAACAACCATGCTGTATTTTGGTTTTAATTTGATATTATTTTTAGATAAAGCTTTCATTCTTTTGTAAAGTTTGTTTGGAATTGAATTATATTTTATCTTGTGAAGTAATTTTCTATAAGCCCCTTTTCAACAATGACAAATTATTCAATTACCTTGAAAATTGTTTCTCTTCTTTCCTGCCCCTCTCCTCCAATCATCCAATTCTCTCCAAAAGTCCAAATCACCGGTAATCTCTCTCTATGCCTTAGCAGCTCGCCACCTCCTCTAATTGATCCTAGCATTGTAGGTTCCTTTTGCAGCCTACTGTTGTAGTGCCAATTTGTTGTGCAGAGTTTAGCCAAGGACTGGAACATGGAGAAAACAGAACTATTAGCAGATTTGTAGAGAAAGTATCAGTTTGTTGTTTTGAATGTAATGTCAACCAACTTTCTTGTTGTCCAGCAGAAGAAGAGGCGCAAATCAGGGAGGTGAAGTCTTTTTCAATGAGAAAACAAGTCTGATGATATCTTTATTGACAGTTATAAACTGATTTTAGCCCTTAGTTGTACTTATAATTAACTAATTAGTGTAGGGTTGTTTTTTTTTCCTTACCTTCATAGCAACAGTTTAGTAATTTAGGATCCTAGAGGGAAGATGGCTATTCTATTTGTACCCTGTCCTTTTGAGAGAGATAATTTTGTTGAGGTTTTTTCAGGTTGTGTCTTGGTTTTAGGGAGGATTCCAGTAGGTGCAGTTTTTGTAGAGCCAAAAGCCTTTTGGAAAGCAGCATTTGGGATGTAGCTTCTCTATTGGTTGGTGGTGGGGGTGGGGTGTGTTGGGGGGTGTGGGGGTTAATGGCAGGATTTCACTGATCTGTGATCTTGCGATCCAGCTAAGGGAACAGGCAGAAATTTCAATTGACGTCCCAAAATTTTCTAGGGAAATTCACAATGTATCACACAATTCTTATGTATTTATATATCTAACACATAAATCTCCATATTTAAATGCGTAGCACTTTGGTACTTTTGAACCTATGCTTTAAAATGTGATGCTTTTTAAAGTGATAATGATGCTATTTTGATGTGATATTAAAAATTTGAGTAGTATATGTGTAAATATGAAAGTTTATATGTGAGATATGTAAATACATATGAATTGTGTGCTATGTATGTAAATATCCCAATTTTATATTCAAGCGGAATGTCCACATTTCAGTCAGCTAACATGATAACTGTAGGTGTCCACTGTCCCCCACAGTTTTATAGATTTCTTGTTCAGGACATCTATCTGATTTCAAGACAACTGTTCGTCCTTTCTCATTGGTTTTCAGGATAGACTCGCCAATTTTTTGAGCCAAGATTCAGCATTATTTAGATTCTCTATTCTCCCATTTTCTGATACGGTCATTTACTTCTTATTTTCTTGTATTGTAAATCTACACTACCTCGCTTATTTAACTTGTAGAAGGCTGGAAATTTGGTCAGCTCTGAGACTCAATTGGTCTTAAAGAAGATAGGTTTCCAATCAAAGAGCAAAGGAGGGAGAATGAAACTGGAAGACAGCTCATGCTTGGTTGACTTAACTGACTAGGATGGGCAACAGGAAAGAAATTGTTTTAATTAGTGTAGAATGAATAAAGAATTAGTTAATAACCATCATGCGAAAGAGTAGCGGGCTTCTAATTCTAGATTTTTATTGTTCTGTCTATTGAAATGAATAGTTAGTTAGCAGGGCCCTTAACGCAATTTAATTCTAGCTAATGTTTCTTTGTTATCTTGTAGACATATTTCTCTCTCTGTATTAGAAAAAATATTCTCTATAGTTTAACTATTTCTCAAATAGCTTAGGTTGTAAGTTTTCCTTTTTTTTTTGTATTTCCAAACATTGTTTATGTTTATGGCGTCTGTTTTTAACCCCTTTATGCTCTTCAATTCTCTTAATTGTGGATATTAGCTATTCTAACTTATTCTAATCAAGTTAGTTTGGGACAAGTTGGTATCATAGCTCCTTCTTGGTGCCTGATACAAATGAGGAGAGGATATCAAGCAACACGAGAATTATTTTTTGTATAATCACACTGAATGAAGCAAATAGGGAAAAACAAAGAAATAATGATTGAAAACGAGTCATCTTGTAATTCAACTCAAAAAAGTGGTTAGGTTAACATAATAAATGTTGATGATGGTGGAGTGGATGAAGTTGCAATACACTATCACTATCTTGGATCCAAGTGACTTCATTTACAGTTTATTGTCTGTTTCTAGGCTCTAATAAATACTCAGAAAAAGTTAACATGATGGGAATGAAGAAGGTGAGGATATCACTATGATGAATGATGTACTAGACCCTTTAAAGCGAAAACCAAAATGAAAATTCTCGCTTATAAAGTGATCATGTAAAAAAAAAAAAAAATTCATGAATCATCCAATTAGGGGCGTACTTCTCTCTATATAGTTACAATTTTCATGACTAGATGGTATTTATTCGGTTTAAATTAAGAGTCTATTTGGGGCAGCTGCAGTTCATAAGAAGAAGCTGTGAAGCTGCTGAAGAATAATCTGATGTTGTAAAAAGTTGTGGTGGCCATTACAATTTTTTTTTTTTTTGAAAAAATCATAACTCCGAACACTGCCACCGCACCTAGCTAGGACCGGTGGGAAAATGCTGATTTCAATGGCAGTTTTTTGAAAAAGCTATCAAAACTCAGTTTGTCCAAACAAACAAAATTTTAGTGCAGTGCTGCATTGCCACCGCACTGCTGGCCCCAAATGGACCCTAAGCCATCATGTCTTAATTTGGTGGAATATCCGCTTGAAGGGTAATAATGCTAAACAAGACATTCTCTATGGACAGTCCAAGTGGTTGATATGTAATTGAGTTCTACTTGATGAGCTATGTTAAAGATCGATGGAAAATGTGGTGAATGGCAAAATCAATCCGTGCAAGATAACATCATGAAGCTCGAATGACGAACAATGACATTGGGAGTTTACCTTGGCTTGTATAAACTCTCTTATAGCACTCTCTATCTTTTCTTCTAAAGTGCTAATAACTTTTTCCGTGTCTTACTCTAGACTTCAACCAAGTCAGAACCATTTCAATGGTGATAGAACACAAGATTCAAGATAAAAAGGACAGGCCCCAAGAACCTTATAAAGGATAAGGGGCTTTGTCTTTCAGAGATAAAACGAAAAAAAATCAAGTAATTTTGAAAAAAACTAAGCCATCAACAAATACCTCGGGAAAGTTTTGCAACTGTTGTCAAATATTTGTTCACGTCAGCGAGAAATGAAGGAAGGTGTGCATTGTAACTCCTTTTTAAAATGGAAAGAAGAATGGGAAATCTAAGATTATTGTCATTGCG